GCCGGGGACCGCTGCCCGGCCTCCCGGGGTGGGCACAGCCCCGGGTGCCCCTCCACAGTCAGCCGGTCCACGTGGGTGTACATGGGTCCGTGGGGCGAGCCCGCGTGGCAGTGATGCTGCCCACACTTGGGTTGGACCTTGGGGCTCTGCGAGGGGTGCGTCCTGCCCCACTGCCCTGGCTCCAGCTGGCACCCGGGGCTGTTCTCCTTCCCCGGCTCCGTTGTGGGCCACTGGATGGTCCAATCCTGCTTGGAGAGGCTGCCACCTGCGACAGAGCACACAGACACAGCCATGCGGCGCGGCAGAAGCCACACGGTTCCCACCCGGGCACCACGTTCCCCCCGGAAACACCAGCAAGAAGCTTCTCCACGTTATGCAGACGCAAAGCCAAGCAGACGCTTTGCAAGGGTTAGAGAGGCGCTTTGCGCACGTGTTTCCCCACCTACCGAAGCCCCCCGTGCGTGTCCTCCCACCATCACCCCAAAACGCGGCACGGGGAGGGGACACCCCTTGCCTGGCCGAGGCTGATGCCCCCATCTCACCCCTGCGAAACCCCTCCGTGCCAGCCAGTTGTGCCATTTGCATAAAGGAGGGGGGTTGGAATTAAGTGGGGCCCCTCTCCGCTTCTAATTATTCATCTCCACCGGCGCAGAGATGAGCAAAGGGCTGTCGGCAGCAACTTCACAGCATCAAAGTGATAGACTCAATTCAAGGTCCCTTCGCCGACTCCTTTTGATCGCCTCCGCTAAGAAAACCAACATAAAACCGTAATCTCTTTATTTTGAAAAGGCTCCTTCCCCATCCCTTTTCGATTATTAATTGCCTGGCCTCTTCTCTCCCCAGCCTTTTCAAGGGGAATGTTTTATTTCAAGCTCCAGAGGAAAAGTAAAGGAGGAAGGGGCTTTGGAAATGAAAGCTTTAGGATTGGACTGAAGAAAAAGCTCTGGGGGAAAAGGGGAGCGAGAATTTTTCTGGAATCGTTCTCCCAAAGCAGAAAATAAAAATAAAAAATAAAAAAATAGAGCAAGTCCTATCCAGCTGCTTTCACAGTTGCTTCTCCAGCTGCCACAAAAAGCCCTTCAGCCCAGCAAGAAGCTCATAAAAAAGTTAACACCTTTCCTCGTATTTTAACTAATTAAGGAAAGAGTCCTGCTGTAGGAAAGCCTCGCCTCTGCCAGGACGCTTGTGCGTCTCCGAAGCCAGGGCGGGCACACGCGAGCCCCCTCCTCACCAAAACAGCCCAGGCCGAGCGGGGACACGGCGGGTGACAGGTCGGAGCGTGTTAGTGAAGCAGTATTAGGCTCCCCCGAAACACAGCTCTGCACC